AGAAGACCTTGAATAGCGCAATGCTATATAATGTAATAGTTATTATTTTTGTAAATTCGCAAATAGATGTTTGTCGCATAATTCAAAATTATTGTAAAAAAGACTGTTATCTCGTCTATTATCTCACATTCTTTTGCAAGAGGAAATGTTGATTCACTAAAATCAGGTGAATAATAGACAAGATTTTTTTTCTTCAAATTCTTGTTACGTCCTACACAGTCTAGTGAAATTATATCTATTCATTTTTACTGCACTGAAAATAAATATACATTCGGGTTATTGAAAACATAAATGTTAAGACTTGTTAATTGTTGTTTCCTGGGTTTTAGTCGCTGGATGATTCTCAAACAAATTACGTGAATAAGCTTATTTTACATAAAAAAGGCCGAATGTTGTTACTCATAAATCAATGAATGTCGCAACAGTGTTTTATTCGGGAGAATTGGTATGGAATATCAAAAATGTATTCAAGGATATCTTTTCAAAAGTGCGATCATTTCACTCTGACATATTAGTTATTAATAAGGCGGGAGATATCCCCTTAAAATACATTTACGGTTGAAATTTTTCAACTTATTTTTTTCGGATACTAATATGGATATATGCGAATGACATGTTAGCAACTGTATTCATTTGATGAACTATATCTACTCATAAAAACATAAGTTTACTATATAACCTAAGACATATTTTTTAGAATCCTTGTTACATAAAATGAGTTGATGCTATTAGATTGTTGTAACTGACTTCTCATGCACACACACACATATAATAATATACTTATCAGCTGTGAAGTAATTACATGAGCTGAACAAAGTTTATTATGTTTCACACAAGGATACGATAAGATTTCAAGACACACTTGCATATATCCTATCGAGAAAACAACACAAATCATTAGTTGTTATTCAGAATAAGAAAAGAATGAGAGTCAAAGAATATTTATGGTATGACCATCAGTGAATGTGCAAGTTAACTATTGCTGGTTACATAGATTATTCGACCGATATGAGTTGATGGCAATGATGACACCCAGCAGTCCTCATTATATGCATCTTGAACAGCTTGTCCAAGAGGGAGATTATATTCCGTATGTGAGTAATTGATTATCAAGTTTCTCCTCTCTCTCAAGTCTCAACTGAGGGGTCTGTGATTACCTCGGCTGGGAGAGCATTTCCAATTGCAACGACTCGCAATGAGAAATGGTGTGCATAAATCTGAGTATTCGTCATGTTTTGTATGTATTCGGTATGTTTAACACAATAATACGATAAGAAATCGAACCACATTTGTATATATATTATATTCAGAAAACAACACAAATTATAATTTACTTTTGACGAGGGGAAAAGAAATTAGAGTTAGATATGATTTTTGGTATGATCACAAATTAATAGGCTTCGAACAAATACTGGTTAAACTTGATCGATAGACGGAAGGAATATGGATGATAACACTACACGATATTTTATTGTAGTCCATTGTTCAAGGTTCTGCTTAGAAAAGCGAGAAGACTTGAATGGCGTTGAAAGTGTGTTCCACGAGCACTCACAGGATCAAAGATTGCTAATCACACAAATAAGGCTCATTCATACAATGTCAGAAACAAACTTGTGAGAGCCAGGAAATAGGGTACCAGAGTAATCCGTCAACCATTGAGAGTCTAGGATGCTCAATACGAAATAGAAAAATCAGATCATCACATTTGTGATGTATTTTGAAAGACTTCTTTTGCAAACACATCCGTGAATTTTAATTTCGAAATTCTACAAGGTATCTGAGTTGATTCAAATTTACTATTTAAAACATGTATTACAGCAACACGATGGAAAAGCACAGCTTCCAAATGGGAGTGCGTGAGAAACTGAGTGAACCCTCTTCGTAGTCGGTACATGGACGGTTAGTTTTCGGTCACAGTACAATGACCAACTATCCCACGTCATGTGAATTTCTTTTTTCGAGGATTCCAGTTTTCTTTTAAAGATACCCTCAGTATTTTGCATATTGTGAAGTTGAAGTTGCCGGATCTAATTGACCGGTGAAGTTTATGTCAATGTTCAAATTTGTCTCTATGTTCATAGTTTCATTGTTCGACAGAATTATCGTAATGTTGTAGTTGAAAGAACGCAATGTATTAGAAACAAAGGATTCAAATTGGCATTGTTCCTAGCTCACGACCTTCTAGATCACTGCGAATTTTGTTGAATCATCAAAATACGTGTTGGACTTTGTGAGTCTATCAAACACAATTTATGTAGGATTCTCAGATTGAGGTTACGAAATATAAACAAGCTATTGTAATTATTATGTCATTAATAATGCTTTCATCAAGAAAACCTACTTAAGGTTAAGGAACGTACTGGTTTCACCAACAGAACATGTACGTTCAGTAGGAGCACATATGTTATTCATATTTTTTCACGCCAAACCTGCTTCGATTCATTGGAAAACTGATTGAAACTTTATCGACTATTTTGGAAGAGATTTGAAAATTTCGTGTTAAATGATGGGATGCTTGAATTGCTCAGGACCAGGTGATTACCTAACCTTTGAAGCGATTCTCCTGAATCAACCAAATTACAGAAAACGTCGGAGGAAAATATAAGAAGACGCAAACTGATTTATGGAGCATATATATAATAAATTGTGGAGTAGCAAATCACATAACACATTTTGCATTTTTCCACTGGCGGAGCTGACGCAAACAATAATGGTGTATTACTCAGCTGAATTCGTCATTGTATATGTCTAATTACCTAATTGTAGTGTCAAAAGAAATCAACGAACAGTGAATTTGTACAATTAAATTCTCTGACACAAATGATATTGCGAGATCTGCGACATTCCTATTCGTTGCCACAGTCAGTCAACCTGGATTTACCTATTACTTGGCAACGTGTCAATCTGATTCACATTCTACTTTTGAAATGTCGTTATTTACAAAATGTGCTATTCTCCTCTTTTTATTCGTCTTAAATGCCGAATGACCGAATTTTTTATTTCCCGTCTATTTGTTAAAATTTTTGTTATCGTTCGACTACTAATTGAATTAATGTCAGTGCGTGAAGAAGTGTTCGAAAGTGGATTACTCTTTTTATTTAATTAATTTCTCCTGGCTTAACTTTTCAACTCAATTAACCATTCACCTTGTATTCGTGCATCATATACATGTCTTTCCATATGAAAGTGTTCAAGCGTTTGTTTAATAGACTCTAAATGAAATGAAATCCAGGTGCATGGTTAAGTGACACAACAATAAAATCATACAACTGACCACTATACTGTGGAAACAATAATATGTAATTTGCTTTGCTTTGCTCCGACCATTTCGAATATACTCGACGCAACCTTGTAATCATTGAAACCGCCGATTGTTGTTCTTTTACAGTCACTGGCGCAAAGAAAGTCAAATGTTGACAAAAGATTACTGTTTTCATCAGTGGTGCGGATGTTCGAAATCATTAATTTGCAATTTTTTAGTGAATTGACTAGTCATATGTTCAGTATACTTTCTGAGTGGATTAGGTAGAACAGAACAGGAAATGATTTGGAATTATCACGATAATTATCGTTTATACTGATACGACGGTAGAACTACACCAATGGTTCTATTTAAACTTGTTCGTCATTTGAAGAAAGAATTTCCATAGGGTTCACTACATCTTCATCAACATATATTTATTTCCTCACAAGAATGTGGATTGATTTAGTAATTCAAAAGAGGTAGAGCGAAATTCGCAAGTAAAAGTGATCCAGTTCAACAGTTTAAGAGACTATGTTTGCCATATATGTACTTATGTGTCATGCGCCGAAATGTGCGTTTATAATCTTACTGCAAAACACTAACAGTGGGTATCAGAGATGTTCCTTTGAGGTGTTATGACTGTTTAATGCTGATCACCTGTGAAGTACTACAGAAGACTCCAACTATCCAAACACAATAGATTAGCGTTCGACGAATCACTGTTGCTCAGTTACCGCAAGTCCATCTAAGCACATTTAGGTTTTGTCTGAACAAATAAATTATTCAATCAAGCATTTTTTATCACTAATGATACAGATGTAGCGTTATATTTGATCAACTTCAACAATGTGAAACATTCCATATCTGAAAAAATCATCTTACCACAACCCATGAATGTAGCAATCATTTAATTCTATCATAACGCAACACTCATTCAAATAAAATGAAATATTCATGTGTGATATCAGTCACTGGCGCAAAGAAAGTTCAATGTTGTAATATCGTCATGTGCAATGCATACTCAATATTCTTGTTTATCGTTTCAAAACTTAACAGGTTTTGTGCATGTTTTATTGTACACGTTTAATGTATTTTCATTAAAGGCCAAAAGACTTCGTATATATGTGTATATGTATACGTTTGGATTGTGAAATGATTTTCTCTCTCTTTTTACTTACTTTCCAGTAAACATAGTTTCACATATGACTGTATATATTTGAAGAAAAATATCCCACTGCCTAATTAACAATAATACATTGTTATTATTCTTTAACTTATTATTAGATGACATTATTTGCAGCACACACATTGACAATACTCATACTCTGATCTATTGCAATGTTTGACAGAAGACTTACTCTCTACACCCCTTTAATGCTTCAAACATAAATATTATTTTCAACAAACAATTCTAGATTTTAAACATAAGATCACTCCAAATGACGAATATTTTGTACCTAGTGGTTTTGTTTAAAAATTTCGTACTTCACACTTTGTTGTAGAATGAGAAAACGTGCAAACCTGAACAACGTGACAATATCACCATAAAATCACCATTATATTGACACAGTGAGAAATACAAAGTGATCGTGTGAATGTACCACGCGCGATTGAATACTCTGACTCAACCTACTTACGTGATTTGATAAAACTTTGATTTATTTGAGTATTTCTATATATATATATATACATATATATATATATATATATATATATATATATATATGAATATATGTATATAATTGTAATTTCTGTCATTTAGAATGTAAATTTGATGTTTGATTTCGATTGGTAATAGTATTTGCTGTTTTGCAATGTGCGCATCGTAAGTCGATATTCAATTTATCTCTCATATGATAAATGATAATTTCTATGTTTCTGATATCATAGTTAAACGGAAATATTGTTTACTTAAACTGCCACCCGAATGTGATTTTTAGGAATTAGTTATTTTCTCTCGAATTGAAAGATGTTATTCCAAATACTGTCGTTTAGAACCATCACGCGTTTTGTACTATTAGATTATATTTTGAACAAACATGAATAGACTATGATTTTGGATATGTAAATATCTTTATCAGAAGTTTAGCATTTCAGGTGACATTTGAATTACCTGATATTTTGTTCGGCCATTTTTTTATTGTAGAATCATTCGCTTGATTATTCTCGCCTTCACTACAATTGTGATTGTTGGAACGCAAAATATAACTTGGGATTCCTACAAGTTTGGTTTAACCTGGCCTCCAACCTATTGTTATTCATACATAGTAATGTTTCGTTCATAATAAACGACATAATTATATTGCTGAAATGACGTTGTTCATCAATGATAATTGAATTATAAAAAATTTTTATCAGTTTTTATGATAGTTAAATCATCACATTAACTTCCTTATCATTATGGAAAGACATTTAGTTTCATTATGTTAAGTTTTATCCCCAATTATGATCAATACAATCAAGCTTAGGTTGGGTTGAAATAATTTATTATTAAGGAAGGTGAATTTGAATATTGCATGATGCCGACATTACCATCTGCAAACTTGATTTTTACAATTATTATTCTATTGTTATCTGATTCACAACGTGACAGTTATGAGTTCGGTAGAGAAATTGAATTTGAAAATTCCATGAGTTCAAAACTAACCATCAGGATATTGTATTTTTAGATCGACAATGATGCAAATTCATGAATGTGCATAAGCGTATGCTGTATAGGTGAAGTTTGATATTTGAGGCTACTACAAACACAAATTACAAAACGATGAGTCGTAATTTCACAAAAAATATTAGTACAGTTGATACAGATTTTAAAATGTACAATCGTTACTACGACTAAACACCATATTTTATAATCATATTTTTTCGACTTATATAGCGCCCAATACCTGATGGAGTTACATCCTTCACAATTCATGGACTATGGTAAGATAAAATTTTGATGTAAGATCCGGCGAATTTGTCTGCAGTAATAAGTGCTTTATATTTATCTAACGGGGAATAAAAACTTGAATGATACTTTTCCATTTTGATCGCGTAAATGAGTGTACAGTAATCAGCTCATTAGATGAATATCCTCACAGTAGCAGGACGACAGTTGAAATAGAATTAAGGTGCAGCAACCAGCTGTTAATAAGTGGAACAACAATGGATTTGATGACATGGCATATTTTATGAAGTCACGTGAACATGCATCAAATAGTGTTACGATAGTTAACTAAAGATAAGGAACATGTATGTAGTGCTCTTCACTACCGAAGTGACACACACAATTTAGAAATAACTTGTCAAAACTGCATTATATTCAATCAATATATATTTCAGTTGCTGTATAACATAAAAGTCACTGAATGTTATCATCAAAATAGCGGAAATATTCAGTAAACTTAGTGATTACTGCTTACTTTATGGCTTATCTTGAAATAATCAGATAAGTTTGAAACGACAGTGGATTTAATTTAGTTAGTGAATCATGATTGACTCAGTCGGTGCATATGTATCATGTAGTGAACATTTGATAGAAACATCATTTTCCATAAACCTGATACTCATACAACTACTGCAAAATACTAGGTGGTTTATCGTTTGAAAACTAAATGTTGTTCGACTTTCCGTTCACAGGCCTGAAATTTATCCAGACATAATTCCGAATTGCACAGCGGAAGAAAAATTCAATTTGACACTTCTAAATGTGAGTTGAATTTGGTGTTTGCGTAACCATTATGTTTCATTTATTGACATTTATGATTAAAACTATAGTCAACTAAAAGCCCACAAATGGAACACCTATTGCTTGATGGTAAAATAATCACTAACAACAATGTTTCGTTTTATTTATTAACAATGGGATGTAATTGTACAGAGATCAAAAAACTTCACAATGAACAATTACACTGTGGTGCTGTGGTGCGAACTACTTATTAGTAGTATATGACGTGAGTGTCAACGTAAAGTCTGGTAGCATAATATGGGGGGAAGATCAAGAAAGGAAGAGTAGAAAACAATGGAATTTGTATGAAACGCATGAATAATGACAATGGATTGATGTTTTGCAACAGGAACAGTCCAGTTCCATAGAATGAACTGATCTTTTGCAAATGAACAATTTACGATAGGGTTTTCCGATTTTACTGAGTAACTCTGTAATTTTCGCTAAATACAATTCGGTTGACCCAAATGTGTTCTCATTCACTACAACACGAACATTCTGTTTGTTCATTCATTCAAGTACACTGCACTGTGAATAAAATAAGATTTTATAGTGAAAAAGTAAAATGTGATTCGAGAATTTCAGCCTAGACTATCATAGTTCGAGTAAGAAATTTCGTAATTTATCATTAAAGTTTAAGTACTTGAAGTTTGATGTGATTTCGTTGAACTGTGTGCGATCGTATATGATGATCGATAATACGATAGTAGTTTGAAACGCTATTTTTATGTGTAGTTGTGTTTCATAAATCTTTTCATGTATTTTTCAACTCAACATGCTCATAGAGCAGGCCATACTGTTACTCGAAATTATGTAACACTGTTACAAATCCATCCAGAAGGATGGACTGCATGAACTTAACAACAGAGTTTCCATATCACTGACAGTGAATTACTCCCTCCCATTCTTGCAGATAACAGTAATTCTACAGGTGTTCTAATGCACGTCGATCAAGGACAATGAAACGAATATATGAAGATTGACTGGTTCAAAGAACTTCGGATTAAAATGTTCAAGGATCGTACTACATTCCTAAACCACTAAAATAAATTTTTAATGAGTTGCTAATCATTGCCTAAAAAATAGACCTATTCAGTACTGTTGAAATGATAATATCAACATATTATATATTTAAATTGAATCACATCATTGAGATTTATGTTTGAGAAGTGTAAGGAGAAAATCTGTGAATAACTATTTGTTGATGGTGGCGTGAAAGTGGAAAAGACATTCAGTCAGCTTCATTTTGATGTCATTTGAATATGTGGATTTTTAAAAATGAAAAGTTTGTCACTTTTCATTAATCGTTTGTTATGACAGCCACATTTACAGTTTAAACATTGTTTAGAATGATCATGTAGGTGAGTATGGATCAGTCAGAATATCTACACCAAGTGAATCTCATCTTTCCACACAAAAACTTCGGACAAAGAATGTGAATACTAACATGTTATGGACATGTCACTGGATATTACCTAACTAACAAGAATTTTCACTCTATTCCAGCCACTGAGACCAGAATTAAATCACAAATGGCCACATTTAAATAATTTGTCCGCGACAGAAATTTTTTGGTAAGAAAGAAAATTGTTCGTTGTTGTCATGTTTTCATAATATCAATACTTCATTCAATTTGCCTACTATGTTTCAGTATTGTTTACGGAAGTATTCAGCTATCAAGTAAGAGAAACAATTATGTTGTAAACATCCGGGTTTCAACTTTCAGAAGTCAAACACATATTTCGGAGGCATACAATTAGTTCATCTGAAATTTTGAAACACATGTGTATTTAGTGAGCCAACGAGAAAATCATTCATCACAGTTTTTAAACATACAGCAGGACACGTTTTGAGTAAACACACTGGGATTTCAAGTCACAAATGTGGTTAACCACGTCATGTCTCGTTTGAGAATGGAAAAACGATTACTCAGAATTCGTTTGTCTTTTCGTGCGTAAGTAGATAAACTGGTGGTAGAATAACCCAACAAAGCAACCAACTCACGTGAATCATCGTAGTCTTCAGGAATTAAGACCAAAATTTATGATTGAGTGTAACGAAAATGCCTATATTTATAAGACAAAAGTTACGATATTTCAGCGTGCTGAGATTCATCTTGTTATTTACATTCGGGATGTCTGGTAATGCAGCAG